GGAAATGTTTAGATAAATAATACAACGAGCACCGTAATTCGGAGTTTATTCCGGATACAACTTTTTATTCATTCCATGGCGTTCATAATTTTACCACAAAACGTAGCATCGTGAACGAATCTTCGTTTCACGTATTCGAAGCTGGCTACTAGAGAGAGTGCTACAATCAGACGTGAACGTGCACAACCCTTTGTTTTTATTCACCTTTGATCTCACCCTGCGTAAGAAATGCTCTTGTTGTGAATGTCTCTTATAGGTTCGGTCGGAGAGCCGGCTATTTCGTTACTCTAGGCGTACAACTGGTACTCGGGGTGGCTACGTCGCTTTCGCCCGAGCTTATCTCCTTCTTCATATTTCGAATGTTAGTCGGAACTACACTGCCCGTCATCTATCAAGCACCGTTCGTGTTATGTAAGCACACGCCGTCCATTTGGAATACCGTTATCCGTTCCAACAATTTGACGAATAATATTGCCTGGCAGTCACCTTGTTAGAAATGCACTCGAAATAGGTTCACGTCTCGATACTTAAATAGAAAAATCTTCAACTAAAGATGCACGCGAGCAACTCCTCGTGGTTTATCTAAAAATATAGATATTATAAATAAGCAAATCATTAGATCTACCACACAATAACTCATCTCTTACGCAAACAACAACAGAGATTGCTTTGTGCCACTTCCACATGAAATAGAAAACGTTTCCCCACGTAGGTTTGCGCTTCTTTTCTTCAAGCTCTCGAGCTCGCCGAACCAAGCTACCATTCGTTCATCTCATCCGTTATATGGCTGTTCTTCGCGGTCGGCGTCATGGTGTTGCCGCTGCTGGCCTGGCTAACGATGGAATGGCGAATGCTGGCGTTAGTGACGTCGGCGCCACTAGCGATATTTGTCCTTTACTACTGGTACTTTGCATTTTACAGTGTTTCAGTAGTAGTAGTAGTAGTAGTAGTAGTAGTAGTAGTAGTCGTCGTCGTCGTCGTCGTCGTCGTCGTAGTAGTAGTAGTAGTAGTAACAAGCAGTAGCAGCAGCAGCAGCAGTAGTAGTTGTTTGAAGTATTTAAAGATAAAATGCTCGTGCATGGTCTGTGACTTATACGCCTGTACACGCGCTACCTAGACATCCGAGTTCAGAGACACAGGACCATTGAACCTAAACACGCACGCACATATATACGATGCAGCACTTGCACGCAAATCACCCATCGCATACACAGAAACATACGCAATCAAGTCACATACTAATATCCTGCTAATATCGCCTTATCGCTATATCACAGATATCTGTTCTATATACACGGCGGTATGTTTATTTACTAACGTATAAGATAATCAAACGTGATAGCCCATTAAGGACCATCGCATATACTTTTTAGGTGCTATTATTACACGTAATAAAAAAATAAAAAAATAAATAAATAGAGTTGCAGTAAGCAAACCGTTATACATCGATTCGTTAAGCGTTTGGACAGTTGAAAACTTAACTTCTATGTTTAGGTTTATGCCAGAATCTCCACGCTGGCTTGTCACTCATTCGAGGAAGGAAGAAGCGGATATTATTGTTCGGCGTATAGCAAAAGTCAACAAGCGACAAATATCTGATGCCTTGATATCGAGATTTCGCATACCGGTAAGCAGTGTGCACTCTCACACTTTCACGCAGGCACGCACGAATGTACAACGGCGCGCGAGCATGCACACACACACACACACACACACACACACACACACACACACACACACACACACACACACACACGCACACACACACACACACACCTGCGTCTTAAAATCACGCGTATGCATGCATTCCTTCCACACATACTGCCTCACAACATTTATCCACGCCACGCAGACGGAAACACAAAACACGCCCCACGCACGCACGCACGCACACACACACACACACACACACACACACACACACACACACACACACACACACACACGCACCGGCGCCCGCGCGCGCGCACACACACACACACACACACAACACACACACACACACACACACCGGCGCGCACACACACACACACACAGCACGCACACACACACACACACACACGGGCCGGACTAAGCATGGGGGGGGCCCGGGCACGCAATTGTGTGGGGGGCCCTTATAGTCAGTATTTTTTCCGCACTTTCGATGCTTGCAAATCAGAGAGTATTTCATCGTGTTTCAATGAATTTAAAAATGTCACTTCAGATAGCGAGAATACTGAGGTTTACCAGTCTCTGTTGGCTCATCGTGTTCTCATGTGAATTTTTAATCAACTTGAGTTTGAAAATGACCTTTCACCGCTACAATTCGCCGGACCTCAATAATTCAGCTGAACAGCGAAATTCAGTCAGCGAATGAGCATGGGAAAAGCATCACTTCAACGTTACATGCTAAGAATTTTGTGGGATCACAATTACGACGTTTGTAAATTTTAGGATACTCTAAAGGTGGGGGCCCCA